TTTTTTCCTTTCCAGCCAACGAGCATTTCGATGAATTAGTTAAATTGAAAAAAATCTTTCTGCCTCTTGTTCAGTTGACTTTTTAGATTTGTCAAATTTGCGGCAAAATTTTCAAAACACTTAATTACGCCTACCTACAGAGGGTCAAGTGAAGATTATTCGCATTCCTAACATATAATTGCGATATAAATGATCGCTTAACATCCTCAATATCAATTGAGAATTTCCAAAAGTTAAAATCTAGCACGAAAAAAGAGCTTATGCATTTGGAAAGGTGAAACTAGGTGGGAAAAAATAGCTTGTGTTCAATGGCTGGAAGAAGAGATGGGGACTAGGTAAAGTGAGAAGATGGAACATGTTATTGAGCACATTTGGCTAGCAGATTTGGAGTAGTTTATCGAACTCCTAATAAGTGCGCAGCAATATTCGCAAACATGGGTGCAAACAAAGGTTTCGCGTAGGTTTCTTCGCAAAAGGATGCGAAGGCCAAAGGTTTGCTGCACCCACTGCAGAATGTGGAGGTGGTAGTAATTTTTTCATCAGCGACGTATTTTGCTTGGAGTTAAAATGTACGTGGCGTGAGGCTATTAGTACGAAGGAGAAGTCAAAACCATGTAAGCGTTTTAAAAAAAACATCAGCCCATTAAAATTGAGAAAATATTATGCAGGTTGCGCAAAATCTGCAGCTAGGTAGAAAAGCTTGATGCACTTTGCAACGCAAACGCCGCAAGTTCATTGTGGCATATGCAATAGACATGCTGGCAGATTTCTGCGATCATAAATATAGTCAGCTTAAACGGTTAAATCTGTGCATTCAAAGGTCCGCATTTAAGTTAGATACCACATGTATTGCGATCACTGTCATATAACCGTGATTGTTCTATGATAACCGTAGACGCTACTGTCATGAATCTCAAGAGGACATGAATTTGCTTATTTACATGTCAACATATCTTTGTAATGTGTTCAATTGCAATATATGTATGCCAATTAACATAACGACAAAATGCGTCGCAAAATGCATCAGGTAGAGTATGTCTGACAATTCGCATCATTTTTTTCCGAATTATTTCCTTCGTCCTAAAAATTCACTTATATTTTATTAGATGCGCTCTTGTGTTTTTCTTTACTTCTTAAAGTAATGGTGAATTAGGTCTCCTTGCACTGTAATTTTAAATGAGAAGTGCAGTTGTGCGAAGATAATGCCGCAGTTCTGAGATTACACAAGATCAGAAATTGTCCGATCATGGAGATTTGTGTCAGTTAAACTGGCAATATTTTTTGAAAGGAAATAAATAGGGTACCTAACCTGTTTATATGTAGAAAATGAATTTAATTTCCGCGAATCAATATGGCTTCCAGTTTTTAAAACCTGAATACAGCTGCAACATCACATTGTTTCAAAAATATACGAGATATGTTGAAGATTATTATAGCCGACTGCAGCACCCCTTCCATACAATTTTGATCATACAATTGCTACAAATTAAGAAAAAGAAAGCATAATTAATTATTTTTTTTCGAATTTGGCATGCCTTTTAGAATTTTTCTTAGGATTTGTGAGCTTGGTTTTCTCAAAATTGTATTTACTTGTCTGTCATTTATCGTTGATCAAGTAGAGTGAATTATGTAGTCGAAAAATTTAATGCCCCAAACAGTCCTGCCAGCACAATAAATTATATGCGAAGGCACCTCACACTAGACAGATATCGCTAACCTTTTAGCCCCTATAATCACCTGACGCGCATAATGAATGTGAAAATGTGGGATAAGTGAACATTTCTGAACAATCACCAGTCGTTTATATTATATGAAAGCGGCCCCACAGGTTTGATGACAAAACACATCAATGTGACATTTCTGTCAGAGTAAAACTTTGAAATGATCAGACGAGGCATCATGACCGTTTACAAAACGGTCTTGCATTATTTAAGTCTTCCCCATAAAGCGCGAACTGAAGGCGATCCACTGTGGACCAACAACACATTTGAGGGATGTTCACATTACGAATGACACAGTAGCCCGTTTTCCATTGATAAATATCTGTCCGCTGATACATATAGCATAATCAGCTCCGAAGACTATATTTTAAATAACCTAAATGTAGTTAAACTCATATAAACTTGCGTCATGCCATCATGTCTGAATTTACAATGCTTTAGGTGTTCACACTGCTTTTTTTGCCTTTAAATATTTTGTGCAAGTTCTTGTCTTAAAAGTTGGTTGTGCAGTTGGCTACAGTAATCGTCAGAGAAAAAAAACGTAACAACCGTTTTCTACTCTACGAAATTTTTCAAAGTGCATTCTGTGTTTGTGAGATAGCAAATGAAGATGTTATGGCGAGAGCTTACTCGCCTGTTTTTAAATATTTCTCACTACTTTACCCTCATTTAAGTCGTCCATTTCGAAAAAGCGGCAATGTGAAATATTATTGAAGGAAATACGCTTTGATAATCGCTAGGTACTCACAGCTCGTCTTTGGCGATTTAATCACATTAAGCCCTGGAACGAAACCAACACAGTCGAACGCTGGCCTATTAGAACGTCCACTTGGCCTGTGTTTCCGGAAAGCCCTCAAATATATTTGGGATGAGGTCTAATATGCCAAGCAAAGTAAACAAAACAAATCGGCACTTAAATTGGCTGGAATCCGTGACCGAGGCTATAACATTTCCTTAAGGAAACGCTTTTTGCGCAGCGTAGTATTTGCAGCCGGTTGAAAAAATGATTTCATTTACGACGCTAAACTGAAAAGTAATGCGAACTTGCTGCATGATGATCGATATTGTGACCGAATTAAGCAGCCTTTTAACATCAAAAACCCATTTTGTCATTTCGGTTAATATTTTATACGTAAGCAGCCATACAGTTTGGTCGGCTTCTCTGATATGATTTCTGTGAACGTTATCGACAATTTCCGTTTCCAGACGACAAAATACGAAGGTTTGAGTCAACTGGTATGTATCAGTTAAAATTGTCTAAGCTTGAAGTGGAATTTCACCATCTACACCCGATAGGTGTTTTAATTTGGGCGTCATCCTACATTTTGCCGCCTGGACCGCCAATTCCCTTCGGGGCTTTTTTTTATCCGGTGGTTTGAAATTCAATTGGCAAATGCCCAGGTAATTGACGGTTACACTGCCCGAGCACACGTAAAAAAGCACAATCCATGTAAACTTCGGTCGGATATCTATAGCGTGTATTTCATGTCGGATTGCGATTCAGAACAGTGACACCCATATCTTCTAATCAATACAGTCGAGAATCAAACATGGTCAAAAAACCCCAACTATCTGTCTGGAGTTTTAACTTGATGCACTTTAAAGTGTTTTTAAAATTACATCGATACTTTCATATTTCAGTCACTATCCCAATGCATAAGCTGGGTAATGCTCTCTTTCCATTTAACTGGGTGGCACTCAGCATATGAACAAAGCTAGTTTTGACGGGTTGCTGTGTTAGCCAGGCGCTCGGATACGCAGCAACGTTTTGACTCAGCTAAACAACCTTCTTTTGTAGAAGGGCGAATGCGGCTATGAGGTCAGTTTGCCTACGCAATATCAAGAAGCATGTCTAACGGATAAGTCTGAGAGGCAATGCCAGTAGCACATGGCAGACTCGCCTTACACGTGGTCTTGATGGTGCGTCGCTTCAACTGTCGCTTTAAACGTTTGCGCCGAAACGTGAAGAATATCGCCAGATCAATGCAATGCTCATGCCTTTGTTTATCTTCAAGTAAAAAAACTCAGTCCGGTTTGAGGTCAAATAGAAAACTTATTTGTGTTCGCCGACTGGACGGAGTATTTGAAAGGTTTAATATGGGCCGGCATAATCGTCTACCACTAACCGATTATGATGGAGAACGATCTTTCATTAAATATATAATCCAAGAACATGGAAATCATTGGATCACTTGTGACCAATAGCTTCGAAAGTGCAGCTCACTCACTCACGTGCGTGGACGTGTGCTCTGTTTATGTTTGCTGCTCGACCATGTCCTTTCGGGTGAGCTGGTGTGTCATTAGAAATCGTCGCATTTGCCTCAATGTTTAGTGTGTTGCCAACCACAAAATTGCTCTAACAGTATGTGCGTCGGATCTGATAAACGGTAATCGATAACCTTGATTAAAAAATTTCAAAAATAAGGGAACCAACGTGACTATTCAAGAAAGGATTGAGCCGACTGCAAACACGTGACACGGGTGCTGGAAATATCACATTTTTGACTGTGTGGTCGTGTAAACAGTAAGACCCATGCACACCTCTATGTTCAGGGCGCTCGCCTGCTAATGTCTGTAAATACGTGCCCAGCACGCATCCGTGCCATATGAGCAACATTTTTTATTCAATCGGTCAGTGAACCACTTTCATGGAATTGTGTCCAGACACACTTAGCATCCATCACTTTTATAGTTCTCAATATAACCATGGCCCTTACAACCTTACGTTTTACTTAAGCAGCAAATGTGGCATTAACAATAACACACACACCCTTGGTTTGTGATTTTACCAAAGATTTTCATTCGAACATATCAGGATGCTTTATCTTATTTACGGTGTAAAAACGCCTATTCTATTTTTCGCAATAAAACGGACCTCTTACCGGCCATTCAGGATATTGTGTGCCACAGATCTTTCGGATCTTTTCAAATAAAAGAGGTGAGACAGTTTTATTTGCAAACCGTTTATTAATAACTTGTAGCCAACGGAAGAAACTCAGGGTCATCAACATAAAATGCAACTCTTTATCTGCAAATAACTACAGCTCCAGCAATAGAGTCAAGCGTTTCGAGTGGATTTTTCAACGACAAGGTCCAGGCTTTCAAGTTATTGCCGACGTCAGCTAAACCTTCTGGTGCAGTTAAAGTCTCCACAGTGTTATTTTCTTTGTAATCGTTGCCTACAAATTTTGAAAAATATAAATGAAGATCAATTTTTAATTATATGCTCAAAAAATAGGCCAAATCAGTGAAAACGCAGCATTTATGATATTCCTGGCTTTAATACCCCTTTGCATATGAAAAATCGAGATTACCGAGAGCAAAAACCGCGTCCGCGCAGGTGAGAAGAACGAAACGCCAGCGAGGCTCCTTCATGCCGGCCAGCTCTGTCCATTGGCCGAGCTGGCACCTGAAGCCTGGCGCTGTAAACATTTCCACTGAGTTTTGTATTTTTCCATCAACACCACAGCCACCAGCGACCAGGATTGCTCCCCGAAAATGTGTGGCCGTGAGTCCGCATCGTGCAGTTCTCATTGGGGCAGCTGGCTGCCAAAGGTCCACCGACATTGCCTGCCTTCGCCAGTCCGCACGCAAATGACAGAACTCCACCGATGCAAGGATTTGAGAGGAGTCAGTTTGACCGCCAAAAACGAAGATGCGGCTATCGCCAGGGAGGTAGGCAGCAGCTGGTTCGTCCCGTTTCTCCCGCATATTCGGCAGTTTGAACCACCTATGTTGTGCGTGGTTGTGCATGGAAGAGGTGAGAGTGCGAAGAAGAACAACTTTTGCAAAAAGATAACAACGATCCACCGACAGTGTCTTCTCACCTGTCTTGATAAACATCATAGGCCGCGCAAGAGGAGAGACGTCCTGTATAATTCCATCCACCAAACACGCCAATAAACACCTTCTTTCCTTCTACGCTGTCATCGACCTGAAAGACTGTGGCTGCGTGCCAACGGCGCTCATCCGCGAGCGGCGCACGTTTACACCAGCGACGTTCTTTTATCAGAAACTCTTTTACGGTGTTTGAAACAGATGGTTCTCCACCCCCAACTACAAAAAATTCTCTCTTCCAGAGAGGTGGAAAAGAAATGCATTAATGCTTAGATAAGGCTTATTGCATGGCTGTTTTGAATACCTGTTAGAATTGATAGAAACTGGTAAAAATCAACGAAAAATAAGTTGACAACATTGTCTAAGAAGGAAAATTTGTTCTTTAAAGCAGTAGATGCAACTGATAGAGGAACATTAATTTTCCATTAAAAGAGGGCTGAAGAAAGCTAATTAATTCCTTCCGCATGTGACATTATGGAAGGTCCGATGATTTCGGTCGTTTCTTTCACCGAAATTCAGTTTGCAAAGAAAAACTGACGCTGGAGGAGTAAAAATTATCTGGCATAGGTGACTTAACGCCAATTTGACGAAGGTGCTCCCCAAAGAACTATCCGAACCGCTGTCAATGCTCCTCCAAACTTCGTTCAAAGGAGTCTTTTTACCTCCCGACTAGAAATCTACACGGGCTGAACTACTGCATGGTGTTGGCAAGTTCTCAGCAACTATGTGCGGACTAATTGATCTCCTTTATACTGCTGTAAAATAACGGAAAATATCATTAGGCGAATGATAATGCGCTTACTAGAGCAGCATAATCTGCTATGCGATTTCCATCACGGATTCCTAAGAAGCAGATTATGTGTAAAAAACTGTTATACTGTTTAGGAGGCTGGTTTAAGGTAACTGATGGACGGAAAGCACTGCACGCAGCACATTTTGACTTCAATAACGCATTCGATAATGTACCAAATCAGCGACTGCTGTACAGATAGATTCGAATAGGCAGTAGGAATAATTTCCTGAGGTGGATTCCAAGCTTCTTCATCGGTCGCTTTCAATTTGTTATGTCGGCAGAGGTAGTGATTCAGGGCGGTGTCCCTTAGGCACCGTACTTGGTCCTGCCCTCTTCATGATTCACGTCAACGACTGCGTCAGTGAACTTTATTCCGGTGTCGTCCATTGTATTTTGATGAGGTTATATTTGGAGCGTCGTCCGAAGTGAATTAGACGAAAAGCATTTGCAGGCAAACAAGATCCAGCTTGAGAGATAATTGCAGGACTGACTTTTGTATTTTAATGCGACTAACTATAGCACTCTGCGGGTTGGTGAAACCAAAACTGCAAACCTAAATGGCGTACAATTGCAGGAGATTGGTGTACAGAAAGACTTATGTTTGTGGTTCACGGCCTCACCCAAACCGTCGTTGCAGTGTTCAACTGTAGCCATATCCGCGCTATCAGTCCTGAACCTTGGAAAGCAGGCTTTCTTTGTGTTTACTGGGAGAAAGCTTCGCCGACGTCATTCTTACGTTTGTGTGGCCGCAGCTGAGTTTTGATATGAAAGCGTGGAAACCCTATGCCGCCAAAAACCTCAGTATCCGTCAGGAATTTCGATGGCGGGCAACCAAAAGTGTTAGTAAGCATGGTTTACTACCCAACGAAACACGATTATTTCATCGCGACATTTTATTTTGAGTTACAGACATCTAGGGTTCGACCTGTTACAAACAGTCTGTATCATGCGCGGTCAAGACTGCTGCCGTTTACATGTGACTGGCGCCAGGCTGGACACACGAAAGTTCTTCTCCAAAAACGTCCTCGAAGATTGGAATGCTCTGCCTTTAGATATCGTTATGTGCACGTCGGTCGAGGTTTTTAAACGCAAGATGGATCATTATATTGCTACACATCATAATGTCACCCATCAAATATCGTCATGACGTTCCGTTTGAAAAGTGCATAATTGTCATAATACTTCGTTATTAGAAAAACTTTTGCATTCCTGAATTTTATGATTGCTTAAATTCATTGCACGAGGATACTGATATTAACTAAAATCGTACCAAATCTTTTGTGGAACATTTATCCATAGATTGACTACTGCACAAGGGACTGAGTACTGCCAAGGTTCCAAGCACTTCGAATAATTCGTTTATCTATCCAGTTTTGACAATCCCTCGGTTATCCTTTTGTATTTCCATTCCCACATTATGAACGTAATTTTGTGGCTCCTAAGAAATAGGGAGGCGGAAAATCCAAAGCCTACATTTACCTTTAATATACTGAACTAAAATATGCGGAATTGGGCTTTAAATTCGGACAAAACATCTATCATTATCTGGATATGATTCAAGTGTATTCAAGCCCAACAGAATTGCGCGGATCTGGAAAATATACATGGCGATCTAGAAGGGCCTATCACCACAGTGTTATTCATTATGTGGTGCTAATTGTGCTGCGAAAAGAGTGTGTCTTTATTCAGAAAAAAATGCAGAAACTTTCAAAGAGGCCGCGTAAATCGCAGGTCACTCACCACCCACCACACTGTAGGAAGCCCATGGTCGCCATTCCATGCGAGCAACTCTTTCTCCCTTCTGCAGGTCAGAATCGAAGCCAAGGACAGACGGCCCGTTTTGTCCATCCCGCCCGAAAACAAAAAATGGCGGAGGTCTCATACGTCGATTAAAAGGACACAGAAGCCTTTCCTTTTCCTCAGCGCCAATCCACTGCTCAACTTGAAGCATAAGTCGACTTTCATAAGATAATAACGGGGCTGAGAAGCATGAACTTACGCACATTCGAGACTTTTTTGAAACACTGGATGACTATTGCCTAGACGGCTGCGGAATTGTCTAGTCGTCTGGAGCCATCGAACCTCCCTCAGCATGAGGGGAGCATGCAAATAAGCCTCTCATTATTGGCCTCTCTACAGGCAGAACACACCCATCTTGAAATGGCCGCAAACACTTCTTCCTCGGAATTCACTGCCAGATTATCACATCGAAGCAACGTGATCACAGTGTCCGCTGACAACGAGATAAACGAATCCCTGTGCACAAAGCTCTCAAACTTGGTTCTCATAAACCTGATGCACTTGTTCGTCAGCAATTCGCTATTCACAGATCTGGCAAAGTCCCATGTGACTGCCAGATTATCTAAACTGAGGCTTTAGATCGGACAGTTTGACATTCATATATGGAGAATGCTTACCTCTTGCCCATAAATTCCACTCCGCAATACTCTATTGCCGGAATCCCCACCATTTTTGCAAACATAACCAATCCCTTAGCGTTTGTTTGCGTAATCTCTATCTGACCGGTGTAAACGTAATTTAGGATCGCAGTTGCTATGCTGGAAAATGTATCACCAGTTAGCAAAATCAGAGAAGGAATGAAGCTTGTACCTTAGAGGGACTCCTGGCCATCTTACGATCGACTTCTTCTCCTCAAGAGGGTCACTGAGTTCTGCTCGCAAAGAAGGGATACGAGCCGCTAGTAGTATCCTGTGGGCGTGAAACCGGCTGTTATCCTTCACCTAAAACACAGGCAAATGTCCGCTTAAAGAGAGATAATACTTAGAACACATACCTCTATCGTTAAGTCTTTAATTTCTCGAGCAAGCCGAATTTCATTGAGGAGGGGGCAACTGCGAATCAGAGGAAATTCGTCTTCGTTAAGTAGCAGTGGTCATTGTTGAACTGACGAGAAATTCAAGCTGTCAGTCCATGGCTAAATATGTAGATGGATGCATGCGCATTCGTGTATTTACTGTCCATCGACGCCTACCTATGGAGTAGTCCGGGTTGCTTAACTCTCACTCCTAATATTGTGCCGTGATAACGCAATTGAAATCATAATTTCCATGCATTGTGGGTCCACAAATGTGTACCTTTAGAATCATAAGTCTCACCAAAATGATTCGCTTTGTCAGATTCGATAAATGACAACAGATTTGACTAGAGATGACTGCAAAGACCGTCGGTCTGAAATGTCGACTCTCGTCTCAAATACTGGTAGCAGCAGCAGCAGCAGTAAACACTACCAAATTATTGTTCAAGTGATTGCAGTGTCCGCTGAAATAAATCACTTTGTCCGAGATGTGAATGAGGGTTTAAGTAGTGACAGATCGGCCAGACTCCAGCACTAGCGTGAGCACTCGGGACACCTTCACATCTTCGGTGTGCAACAAATCACGCCATCGTTCTCGTTTGCAGCAGACGTTTATTCCATTCCATTCTATGCAGTGCCCTCCACCCCTCTTAGAAAGACAATGCGGATTGTGTACAAGAACACGACGTCCGAAAGGTACGACATTTTCACTAGAATCTACAAGACTTGCGCTGTCACCCTGGCGTCCTGGCTCCAGTAAGTGACTGGAGGGCTTGCGAAAATCACCCAGGAATGCGTATATTGGACACTGTCGTAAAGGCTTACTGGCTCGTCATTTTCAGGTGGTTTTGGAGTGTACGTGACTTGTGCTGGACGTATATGTGCGGATGAAATATTAACATTAGAACCATTTTTAAAATTTTCCCGTTTTTCTGGAGACTGGCATTTTATCTTTGTTTACTCTGCAGCAGTGTTCGAGTTCGTCCATCCTGAGACCTTTTGACTTGCCGGCAAAAATCCCCACCATTTCAAAAGCCTAATATCCTCCCAGCAATGCACACTTTCTTATCCAAAACTATTATTGCGTCATTTGATAAATAGCCTATCGTCCGACAAGGACGTATAACACTATTTATGCGGATCGAGTACGCCAATGACTCGTATCTTGAAAGGGACTAAAACGAATCTGACAGTGTGGGATTTGCATCCTGGCACCGGGTAACTGATCGCGACTACTCAGCTTATATCAAACTTCTAGTCCTAGTCCTTCGTTTCTTACAGGCTGTGGTGTTAGTTTTAAATAAAGTTGCCAAATCGACCTGTTTATTTGTAAAAGTTCGGTAACTAAACAAGGCAAGTTGAAATTGGAGTTCATATACCAGAAAACACATGGGGAAAGCTGAGGGACCTACTGACGAGCCGAACCCCTCGCAGCTGCGTCAGGCAGCGGCATGAGATCGACGAAACACGCGTGTCTGGGCTTTAATCTAATACCTGTGTTGTTAGTATGGTAAGTCGTTGCATAATTCTTAGATGTAGTATGCCATTATCGAAAAAGACAAGGGGGACTGAAATGGCTATTTCTGGCTTATTAGCCGTCGTCAGCCAGTCATACCCAACGCCGAAGTGTGGAACACCCGATGCTTGAACTCGTGAGCTGTTAAGTGGAAGTCCATGCCCCTAACACTGGGCCACTAGCCCGTTAGCCTGTATTTTCACACTCCATCAATGATCAGAACAGTGCGTTCTTCGGGATAAAAAACCGTCAAAATGAAGAAGCAGACAGTTTAAAATACCTTTTAGTGAGGCTGCTGATGACAGAACGACTACATAACGACCCCTTTCCCGAGTAGATGCTTCTCGGAGGTTTTCACAATCTTGAGATTGTGCTCACGACTCGTTACGTTGTCTTCATTGACACAAAGATTAGCCCGTTCCAGGCATCACCAAAATCAGCCCTCCTGTACGGTTGTAAATGCTGAAATATATGTATGAGCAATAGGCAAAAACTGGAGGACTTCGACCACCGCAGCCTGAGGACTACCCTTCAAACCGAGTGCGGAGGCTTTATCTCAAATAAGGGAGTACTCACATGCCGCAGTCTCGAGATAACACCTTAGGTCATCTAAGGAACATGAACGAAGCAGGTTCTTCACCATCTGCTTCTTAAATCCAGTGTTGTTGACCCCAATTCGGCGTCGTTGACTACCTGTGGATGTCGGAGTCGAAGTAAAAGAAAAACCTTACTTGATACAGTTCGTCAGATCATGGAGGTTACTAGTTAATTCTGGAGGAAGGAATGATGCAAACGTTTGATTCACCGTCGCAGATCGTCACGCGTGGAGAGCTCTAGTTGGAGACATAATCGAGTTGGGCCAGATCAGACAACAGCGACCGCACCAATTACACGTGAGTAAGTACTGCCGCCCAATTTACTATGCAGTCACTGAGCGATCGAGGCACTGAACTCTAACTTTTTTTGATTTATGTATTGGGGGTTGAAATACGCTCAAAAAGGTTGAGGCGTTCGGTTTTGGCGGCTATGAGCAACAACATAAGCAAATGGAGTAAAACTGTTAGATGTTTTGGATAGATTGCCTTAGCGGTCTTTCAGATCAGAAATAAAAGCATCACTTCTCGGTGCATAACATTTGCGTTAAAATTTATTGAGAGAAAAGCAGATCGTTAAAATAAGTGACACAAAGACTAAACAACACTATTATTGCGAGTGTGCACGTGTCCTTAGTGTCTCATAAGGCAAGGCATTACTGCAAAACAGAAGATAATAAGTATAACTACGTGAACAGGCGTTAGTAATACCATAAGGGAGTTTCACTCTCCGTAGACGTATGTGAAACGAGAGATCTGACTGTTTTTTAAAAGCTATCAAAGTAGGCGTCTTCCATTGTTATCTCTTCAGGTAAACGTGCAGCGTGTTGGTGTCTTCATGTGGTAAACAAATGTACCATAGTCCTGCACCCACAATAAGATTTAACAACTCTTAGACCCATCCGCCTGAATAAACTAGCATCACACGGTGAGTGAGTGATCACATTTAACTAAGCCGGAATTATGGAATGCGTTTATGCTTAGGATGAATGGCTTAAGTAACTTTTTAATACTTATCCCCTGGAATTTCAGATTGAAACGGATTTTGGCTTGTGTTCATACTTGTTTAACGAGGACTGCTCAAGTAATATGCATTTTTTCGCACTAATTTTGTTGTCTTTATTAGTTTTAATATATGTCTTAGTAGAGCACATATCTTGAAGACTCAAATCGTTATACGTTAATCTGAGGAGCCATTTGGAACAAAACTATTCCGAAGTTTCAATTTATTCCAAAACCTAAAAACACCCTTTTTCTAAATGTAACATGTAAAAAGACGTGATTAATTGTCAAATTAATATAAGATATGCATGCTTCTTTATGAACTATGGCAACATTCATGCGGACATTGAAAATTAATGTAAAAAATGCGTGCCAGTATGACGATTATATTTTCACAACTGCGGATTTTAACGGACGTTATGAAGGTGTGTTCTTAAATTAAAAGCATTGTGCCGGATATCAATTCGTATTAAAATCCCATCTAATTGTGCCTTCATAATCGTAAACGCATCTCAGACTTTGACTAATATTTAATGAGGGCGGTCAATGACGGTTTGTTCATGCTTCGTATACGATCTCGTCACTGATCTCCTATATTTCTAGACAGTCAATCCTTTATTGTTTCTGCTGTAGTTATCGAAATCAGGGTACACTCGTGTAGCCTTCATAGGCAAAGTATCAAACAGTATAATACACTCACATGCGTAATGCCAATTAAATTAAGATAGAACGTACTTGACTAATAATATTGCCAAGTCAATAAGTTAACATAAAATACAACGATCTGAGGCGGCACAATCTGTGTAATTAAATAAGCCTTACTACTAAATGTGTCCCTTCTACGTGCCTAGTACGCAGGCGCATTTGAAATTCGTAGCTTCACGATCATGAGAGGCCCGCAAGACTGGTGAGGCACCATCGATCGCGCTCAACACCAAGTTCAATCTTCACACGTGCGTGAGTGTAGTTTTGTCGCGCAGGCGAGCGCCGAATGGGGACAAAGCTCACCACGATGGCCTTGGCAGAATGTCACGAAACTGAGCTGAATGCAGTGACACTCGTAATGGTTACATGCGTTCGTGAGTTTCTCACTGAGTGGGCTTCGACTTTACTCACACAGCTCACGAGCAAAAGCGGAGGCATTAATTTTATTAATTATTTTGGCGCTGATGATCGGATAAGACAGACTGCCAGTATGTCCGTAAAACCGTCCCCAACATTTTCAAAAAGCAATAGGTTTTTCAATATCATTTTCCGTTTCCTTGGGTCCAACCAACTACCAAACCCTATCAGTTATATGATTTGTCTGGCAAATTCCTCGTGAAATGATGTGTTTTCCTTTTAAACCGGGACATTGATACTCACAAATAGCAGCACGCAGTCCTAATTATTAGTTTTGACCGCGGTAAGGCGACAGAAAATGTATAATATGCAGCCCCTTCCCATGAATGAAGACTTATTTCACAGCCTGTATCAATCTTGATTTCACAAAATAAAAACTTTCTCGCAAAAAATCTTAATGGGGATTTGGGGAATGACGTCACCGTCAATCAGTCATGTCAAAACGTCCATTGTACATGGCGAATTTAAGTGAATTGTCTCATTCTTAACAAAGATATTATATGTCACAGAGATGAAACTGTTAAAGTAAGCACCTCTTTTCTTTCGATGTGGCAGTTATTTGGCAAGTGGTCCTTACCAATTTGTCCATGTTTAACAGCTTTCCCCACATTTTACCTAAACCTTCTTAGTTTAAAGAACGAGAATTCGAAATAAAAGTCTAACCTGTATAAGGAGGTTAAATTTCTCAGCGATCGACGCAGTGAACTCTATCAGCAACAAAATTAGCAAAATGGAGTAAAAATGCAACATCGGTCTTTCAGACCATCATTAAGAGCATCACTTCTCGGTGGTCGGCGTTCCTGCCAAAAGTGTTCACGCGATGCATGCATTAATGCTCACATATTCTTAGATTTTTGTGTCAGTTCGGCTGATAAGTCCGTAATGGTCATGAGATGATGATTAAAAAAATGTGAACTAACATAACATCTGTAATACATGTTCAAAGAATATTTGCTTGACGTCTTCATGTCGATATTGGAAACGAAATTTAGAAAAAAAGCATTTCATTCCCTCGCTTAATTATCTTTCATATGGTTTATAAAGCTGAATCGATATAGCTGCATGTGTAAGTCGACATTCCCTTTTTCAACATTTCAAATTTTTAACTTACCATTTCTTCTCGTGAACATTGACTAACAACCCGTTTCCCTGATTTCTGTTAACACTTAAGCCTCCAATTTTGTCAAAACGGCCTGCCTGAATAAACTAAAGGAATATATGTTTGATTATTATATTTATAAAGCGATTCAGCAGATAGCACCAAGACAAAAATGGCGGAAAAAATATGGATGAGGGAAGCATTCGAAAGAGCCATCTCGTAGATATCCCAAACATTAATATATGGTGTATGATATATAAAAATCTAAATTATGTGTTTTATCTAAGTAAACGCCTATTCAGTTGGAAATGAGACGACAATAAAAATATATTGATGTACAATTTCAAACCGTAAAAATCCCCTAACTAGCATAAAATTTGCCCAAAATTTTACTGATAAAAAGGGATATCGCTAAAATAAGTGGCATAAAGACTAAACAACATTATTATTGCGAGTGTTATCGTTTCCATAGTGTCTTATTAAGCGAAGATAATAAGTTAAATTATATGAACAGGCGTTAGAAATAGCAAACGGGGGTGTGGCCCACAGGCGTGAGGACGTCAAGAAACGTGAGTTTCAATCTCGGGCAGTATGAAGCACAGTAAACGCAGTCCGTGGATTCGCTTGCAATTCTTTTAGCTAAATAAATCTGAAACTTGTTCAGGTAGTCGTCCATGATCACCATGGGAACTTCCATGCTTTAGCTCCGAAACACTTACGTTAATATGATTTCACATATTTCGCCAAAAAATTATGGTGTGACGTGAATGCCAACATACCTGATAAGCCCTGAGTCAGAGCAATCCTCTTTTTTCCATCTTTTTTGGAAGTTAAGATTTGAGCGATAAAAGTGCATGCACAGTCACCGACTTCGACGCATACAGTTTTTAAACTCCACCCTGGTGCTGGTGCATACAGAAACGTGCCTGAAGATTAAGCAACACTTAGCGGGGCCGTATGATTCCTGTTTGAAAGGCGAATCTTAGGTGAACAATAAATGATTTAACACATCTTCAATGACTGTCGACGTTGATGTTATTGCATCTATTCACTGTGTAGCAGCATTAACAAATCTGATAAGAGAAAATCGAAGTTCCTAAATACTGAAGAGCCAAAAACCCCGCACCTGAGTTGGCTCCAAAGCGTAAATATGGAAATCGGTACAATGTTAATTACTAAAGATGTCTAATCATGGTAAATTCTTTATTAGCTTTCCCATATTAGCCTTCTTATTCTCTCTCAAAGTCAGCAATGCACAATGAAACGTTTGGCTGATACATCTTAATGCAACAGCTTCCGATATAGCAGACCGTTTACTTTACATAATTTCTACCGGCCTTATTGATTTTGCATTTCGTCAGCAAGGGGACGTTATGATCATGATCACGATGGGCAACAGTTTCTGTGAAGCGTTTTACAAAACTGAGATGGCTTCTACGCCACATCCTTGTCTCAAGTGTATGGTAAACATGTGTTTATATAGGAGGAGGACGACGAGGAGGATGAGGAGGAGGAGTACGTGGAGATAAATATTCAGGTCGTGCTCGGAAATCATGCTGTGGGCGGGAAGAGGGTAAATTAGGAATGTGGCGATTTGTTTTATTGGTATTATGTCATACCGTTTTGCGGCAAAACAGTAGTCCTTAGCAGTCTTAACATTTCACATGTCAGTCAGCGTTGGATAATATATCACCCATACAGAGGAATACCAGAGATGAGGGAGAGTTGGTCAACCTGTTCAGATTGTACCGATATCCCACACAGTAGGTCAGAAATTTCGCAGATATTGACAGGCATCTGTGTTGAATAGACGAGAAGTTTAAACACGAAAGATTGCCAGAAAACAAGACCTGAGCTGACATAGTGTTTATCACTGCGCACATCTTATCGAATCCAAGTTAAATCTTCCTAGGTAAGGACACGTGAATACGTGTCCGATCATATTACAGATGCCTTTGCATTAAATTCCAAGAAAAAGTAGTTTTTAGGGGTAAATGGAAAGTTGCAGTCAGGCTTTCAGCACAAGAATACATTCCGCCTAAGAATATACCATAATGGTACCTGACAGACGGTGGTGTACCCACTGTCGTGTCCTAATCTCCCTATTTTTGATATGAGTCGTGATACGTATTTCTGCTGTTTACCAGATGCATGAAAAATTATGCATCCGCCGTCCCACGAGACTGAATACGACGCCCTTTGTCTTACTGTCAGCGACGCTCAAATCAGTATTATTAACAATCTCGTTTATTCAGACAGCAGAGTCACGCGCAGTGCCAAATCAAATACGGAGTTGCCAGCCCCACAGGACACGATCTAGGACACAAAAATACTAGGGCGGGCCGAAATTCTCAGCAGCCAAGGCAAACCAACAAACCTACAGTCTGCCTCTACATGTACCCTGCGCAAACTCTCGTGGGAGAAATAATGGCGATTACACTCCCCACTGGTGATCACACGCACAATCTTCCGCTACTACTGACTATTGTCAGTAACCTCTTCCTTGTCATAACATCCGAGACGACGAAGACTACCAGGTCTCCCAGTTCCCACTGACGCAAACTGTCTCGATGTCCGACGAACACAAGCATCGAAACCACTGCCCTACCTTCTGCGATGTGGACTCGATCCCAAACTGTCCTCCTTGGTCGCCCCTTCAATTCATGTGACGGCTTGAACGGTCCACTGGCAGTCGACTGCGCCAATGCAGGGACATCAGTGCCGGTGGCCTCATCATAGAATCACCACATACATCTCCATTATCCGCACTGCCCAAGCCCATTTGCTTACCACATTAGCCTAGTCAGCTACATCCGTATACAGGCACGGTGACTTGTACGTGAATAGGTTTATAGTGAGGCAAGACTTGCGCATCATCTACCATATTTTCACCTCCTCCCCACCTTCAGCTGGTGTGAAGACAGAATAAGGAGGACAGAAGGCGGAGACAACGCATGTGGATGGCGCGGCCGAACCCGTATCATGAAGCAAGTACGTAATTGCCGACTCTACAGGACAGGATCTAGGACACAAAAATACTAGGGCGGGCCAGCAAACTCACAGTCTGCGTCTACATGTATCCTGCGCAAACTCTCGTGGGAGAAATAATGGCGATTACACTCCCCACTGGTGATCACACGTATAATCTTCCGCTACTACTGACTATTGTCAGTAACTTCTTCCTTGTCATAACATCCGAGACGACGCATAATACCAGGTCTCCCAGTTTCCACTGACGCAAACTGTCTCGATGTCCGACGAACACAAGCATCGAAACCACTGCCCTACCCTCTGCGATGTGGACTCGATCCCAAAATGTCCTCCTTGGTCGCCCCTTCAATTCATGTGACGGCCTCACCGGTCCACTGGCAGTTGACTGCGCCAATGCGGGGACATCAGTGCCGGTGGCCTCATCATAGAATCACCACATACATCTCCCTTATCCACACTGCCCAAGCCCATTTACTTACCACATTAGCCCTAGTCAGCTACATCCGTATACAGGAGCGCGAAATTCACTGTAACATAAACACAACAAACCCACCTCGCACACTACATAACTTTTCCACTAACAGAATAACTGTGCCCAGATGGTAGACTTATTTGCCTCTAACAACTTGATCACTTTCCTTTGAATGAACCGTTTGTTTTGATGAACAGACACAAGCCTGCAGAGGTTACTTCGTAAGGCAAGTGTACGGCGTGGTCAGGTAGTTTGAAATTTAATAATGAATTCTTACAGTAACTCTGAACTCTCTGGTCATGTGTATCTGGGGTGTTGCTGATAGCGTCCTTCGCGTGTCCTACACTGCCAACTCCCCATTCACCAGTAGAATCCCCAGACGCAGCATTGACATTGGGATCGTGTTTGCCACGCCCAACCTATGTTGTCCAAGATGCCCTTACGCATGCACATCACACGTTGGACTGGTCGGTTACTACCGTATTCACCTCACAGCGACTGGCCAACAAGTACCTAGAACACCAACATATACCTGTCACCATCGCCTGAAGTGTACGCATTACCCTTGCAAATTCAGCTGTCGCGAAGCCTCCTTATCCAATGCGCCGCAAAAAACACCCGGTAAGCCACTGCAGGCTAGACCACATCATCACACATATCCCCATCAACACAGGCGACCCACATGAATACCACAGATGCCGCACAACACAACTACGAGCCAGGGGTTTTCATGTGAGGCGGATGTGCCTTCTTCGACCCTCTCTGGTTGTAACCCATCTGGTGCATGTGCGCTACGAGCAGTTCCTCGTGTCGTGTGAAATTCTGGTGCGTCATGCAAAAAACGGGTCAGGCAGTCCGTCAGTATCAGTCAGTACATTTAGAGTAAACGACAGAAGTCCTGAAAACTCCATTTAGACGGTACAGATGCAAGGGAAAATAGTTAAGTTGCAAAACTTTGCTCGCAGCTTTAGTAAGGAGAATTCATAAATATGATAATGGAACATAAATGCGAAAGAGATGTGCTATTCGCGAAATAATTGCGAACAACTTTGTTCACCGCATTCGGACAGTGAAAATTTCTATATAAGTCAACGGTGATGCATAAAAAAGGAACTGATGAAATCATGTTGGTAATAAATCTATAGTCACCCCATTAATTCGTTAGATCAGGCTTCGGCAGTTCGCACACGTGGTAGGAGCAAACAAACCACATTTAGTTCTGTTAGTTGTTTATTACATTCTCGCCATTAGTTGGTTGACCGGCCCATGTACTCGATTAATGCAGGGGAAAGTGAAGAGAGTGTGGTCAACTCTCAACGCATTCTCTTTACTGTAAGCAATCTGACGTGCATGACATTATTACGGCGCACTTGAAGGCATGGCCCTAAAGAGCGCGGACTGGCAATTCAATCCAAACTCCTCGGTCAGCTCAGCGTTCATTTATGCGCAGTGTCCGACGATATCACGCACCTCTCAGGACTTCGCCCGCTATGTGGGACAGAAACATCCTTATCTAGAGCGGTAGTCTGATTATCAGGCTTGCAGGACATTGTATTTCTTAGTCTACTAAAGTTATTAAATTACTGCATGAATTCCAGTAACGTCTCCCTCAGAAATTGAGATTGCACCAATTATGCATAGAATAACTACGGTACGGCACATTCCGTAGCGCTGTTGTTTGTCACACATGAAGAAATTCGTTTATCTGACTGGTTTCGGAAAAAATTCGATATCCGTTTCATGTTCCATTTTTAAACTTTCGATATAATTCGCTTTCTTGTAACAAACGGAAAATTCAAAGGTTCAACACAAATGTTTCGCTCAAATTAACTCATGCAGAAGATTGTATTTCTAAACATTATCAAAATCCTGATTCAATGCATTAAGTAAATGAATACTGACGGTTTGAACAATTGTTTTGTTTCCCGTAAAATGGAATGGGCTAAGGTCAATTCACATATTTTGCGCTTGAACACTTGTTCGTTTTGTGGCTACATACTGGTGCTTTAACATGGACGTTCATCGGTTAGAGACTAGTCATTGTCATGACAAGGGGATATGTGGTTCTACATGCGCAACACTGATTGTATGCTTCAACGTACATTATAAGATTCACTTACTGGAATAAGGTCATATAGTAAATTGGCGGATGTAGAGCAGTTTTTTGAATACTACGCAATTTTAATGTTGGAGTTCTAATGTGCTGATAGTGCCGTCCATTTCTATACAGACATCTAACGTACCTTAGGAAATTTAAATCACACTTGAAGGAGGAAATAAGCCACATAATAGTAATGTAGATGAGACAAAAATCTATTATCAAGTGTGGCCATAGGTCTGCTGTACGTATGGGGAATAGATGCAAGAAACACTTTCTCTAGCATTCAATCACTGCACCCAAACCAAACACAAAGACAGAATATAAGCTGACGAGCACACATCGCTTTCGATAAATTCTCTTTAGGCCAGTACAATTTTATGGGAACGGGGTATAGTCAAACATGCCAGTGATCGAAAAATCTATAAAAGTTAGTTTTAAAATACAGGCTCTGGAAGAGCGAAAAGTGGTAGGAAGTTGCATGTGGTCAGCCAACCATAGGATCGGTTTCCCTAAGCTTACGTCGGCCGCTTATTCTGTTGTTAGTAGGCACTTAGGATAGTGCGTGGGGACCTTAAACATCACAAGAAAAGCTTCAGCGAGGGCCACACGATGCCCTGAATCATGTGCATATGCAAGGATGGCGCTTTTTATTTCCCTAATTTCGTCTTTTGCTAGCCATGCGAGGAGGTGTTCTTGTATTCTTTTGGGAAGACGTCGGCTCGTACGACCAATATAGCTTGGCCCATAGGAACAAATGAAGGAATAGATGCACACTGAGGTGGTCTGAGTTGGCAGCCTATCCTTGCCTTCTGCGCGTAAAATTGAGTTAGTAGAGTGTGATATTCGGACACTTGCTGTTGGGAAGGATCTCGAGACAACTTGATCAAGACGTCCTCTTAGAAGTTCACTTGCAGCGTTTCTTTGTAAAGGAGCTTTCGGGAACAACATTTTCCTTCAATGTGTGTAATCGACAGATGTGCTTAAACCTTACGGTCGTTTTGTGGATAATATCTTTGTCACCGCTGAATTTATCGAAAGCGATGTGTGCTCGTCAACTTATATGCTGAATATTGCTTTGGGAATTCACATACCTCTAAAAAACGTCTGATACATTCACAGATTGTCGTGGACAGATTTTGCCATCTGCAGGCACCTCGTTGAGGCACATGCAACGGGTGCATTCATGCACAGTGAAAAAACTTTCTTGCCTAGTTGGCAACCGCGTGAGCCGCTCGAGTCATGGTTCTCAGTCCCGCAATCCATCAACAAGCGCAATAAACCCCGTTACCATATTTAATGGAGAATTTTCCTGGACAGGGAAATCAGTCCCGTGGATAGCGCGCGGCGGGCAACAATCTTAGTGACAGCTAGCTAAATGACCGATTAATTGTCATGCCAGCATCAAACATGTATGATGAAGTCGCAGCAGTTAACAACTCGTACGCAGACTGATGAGCCTTGAACGTGTCAATTAAGACCCCCATCGGTGATCGCGAGAGCTATCTTATTTTATCTATTAATTATAGTACATTTGTGGTCCCACGGCAGCTTCGTACTGTTAATTCTGCCCTCTCTATTCCTCCACCACCATTACCCACAATTGTGTCTGACTATAGATTCGAGTAAGAATCTCAAACGTCAGACCAGTACACTTCTTGTTCTAGGAATCGTCGTCTCCTGAATTCCTCAATGCATTTCACGAGATCCGAGTGTGCTCACCAATAAACTAACCTGCACAGTTAGCCAAAACACAGCGTTATGTTACAGTGACAAGAAATCTTACTTCCCGATAGGTATATCGATATTGTGGAACATTATTACGAGGAATTCGGATTGGGTCAGATAAGGTTACGTAGCCTCACCTGAGGTAAACTAACCCCTAGCCAAGAGTTATATGGGACCGGTCGTAGTAGGTTTTTATAGGTGGGGCCGGGATACTCAAATCCGAATAGGCCAAGTAATTGTATGCAAAATAAAAGCTAATGGAAATGCGCGCTTTTGCTTTGAGTGGTTTAGAAATAGTCATCCTGACCCCTAACAACAACCCCTCACTCTAACCCCTTACTATAACCCTTAGCCCCAACAGTCTTATTTCCATCAGATACGGCTGCATACACATATCTCACTTTGAATTGTAACGCCTGACAAATATCTTAGTTTTCGGTGATAAAAACGTTTAAAACCGATGTCATAAACTGAATGTTCATACAAGCGCGCTTGCTACGCTAATGACTTTGAGTAGCCCATCATAATAAAATATAAAACACCGATTTTGTTTATTTGTTAATACCTTGCTTTTAACAGAAAAAAAGTAATCCCAGTCAAGAAATCAGCATACTATCCGCAACAGTTTGCAGTTCTAAAATTGGAATGATATTCACATCACTTCTCTTAACAAACCCATATCACGCAGAGTTCATTTCAGAAAACTGCATTTGACGTAATTATTTTCTTGATCCAGTCAAGGTGGGGAAACACCTTTGTACTCGTGGCATAGTGACCCCCACAAAGGAAGTCCCCTCGATTGAGGACTCCATATAGGAACCATGCTCCCTCGACTCCAGTGCAGTAGACACCAGCGCCGGAGTCTCCCCAACACGGATTCTAAAAAGGAAAAATGCGCTTAGAAACTTTCAAATAGACGCGAAAATTTGGGCAGTTAAAAAACCATGTTATGTTGATAGCTTACACCAGTTCGTGTTGCAAGGCAACTTTGCCCTTCAGATTCGAAACCCTGCGCGGGCGATTTACAGAAGTCTTGGGATTCAATTTTTACACTGCCTTCCATTAGAACTGGTGCGTTCCGATGTCCGATGATGCCTGAGTGAGAAACTGAGCCCCAGCCCGCATATGTACATTCTTTGGACGTATTTCCAATCGAGTCGCTGTTTGGAAGGCAAATAAAGCCAACTGCAGTATCTAAAGAAGATAAAAAAATTGTGTTGTAAGCAAACAGTATGCATACTTTAAGCTCTTCTATATATGGGGTTAGAGTAGATGTTGGAACGCGCATGTCGTTAACTCCGCTTTGCATTTTAGTTCAGCATATAAATACGTATTTCGAAATCCGAATACTGCTTGTTAAATGATCCCGAACGACTTTCATCTCTCTTCGTTTAAGAGGCTTTATTGGCATTACCGTTCGTGCAATATAAGAATCAGTGCACTCTACATTTCAAAGTGGCGAAAATTCCCATGGAGGAAATCAGAAGAGCATTTTCCGAGCATACGCGTGCCTCCGATTAATTCGCATCAGGCCGGCACATTTATATGGGAACGAGGCACAAAGTGAAAAGTGCGAGCGATAAGAGCAATCGACTAACCTTCGTCTTTTCATATAAATGGGCTATGTGACTTGATAGAGGGTAGAGGAGGCAGTAGATGATACTGAGGGTTAGGTAGAGACGTGTCACAAGGGGAAGGGGAGAGGAGAGGTGCGCGGAAACATGGCATAAAGTCAATCGATCAATTCCCACGGCAGACGCAAAGAGGTTCTGCGCGCACATGATCGAGCCCTGTAGCCTGATGGCAGTCGCTTGTGTTGTTGCCAGTGGGCGCTGACCTATAGGATAGGTAGGTGGGGACTTGTAAATCACACGGAATGTTTTGTTGGGATCCACACGATGCCAAAAATTAACCATGTATGCGAGGATGGAGCTGCTTATGCTCTTAACTTCACCTTTCCTTAGCCATACCGGCAGGTAATCTGGGATTCTTATGGAGAGGCGCGGACTCTTACGACCAATGCAACCATCGGAGCAGGCCGCGGGCAAGGATCATTTAACTGTATGCATGTCTCCGCGCCCCTGTCCCCTCCTCTCCTCCCTCCCCTTGCGACACGTCTCTACCTAACCCTCACGGTCACTTACTGCCTCCTACCCATTCCCATACCCCGGTTGGTGTGAAAAGACAAGCCGTAATCGATTGCACTTATCGCTCACACGCTCAGTTTGTACCGCGTTCCCATATAAATGAACAGGGACGTTGATAATGTATTGAAAGCACGCGTATGCTCGCCAAATGCTTTTCTAAATTATACGTTGCCATTGAAGTGAACACACGGCTCAGCTGAACTAGCGATTCCGACTTGCTCACCTGCTTAAATGACCGCTGCTTGACCAAACACTTTCGATGGCTATTTTCTGTGGACGACTTGCCAGCTACTGCCACGCATAGGCGACACTATGCATGCAGGTTTGAGCAAGCACAACAATGTGCGTAGCAAATCCGAAATATACGGCCGGAAAACTTCATAAAACCGGCAAGTATATGATGCCCACAGAAACATACCACAACTTGAATTTACTGCAAAATTAGCTTGACAGTCCTATGCAATTGACAGTACACGCAACAGGATCAGGGAGGCCTTACAGAAGATCACCAGGAATTCCGAAAAGAATTCCGAAAACCAGGAGAATAATTATTGCAGTTCGCAAATTACAAATTTTTTTTGGAAATGCGGGTTTGTCATCGCCCTACCTTAAGAAGGCCTTAAACACAGTGAACTGTAGTAATACCTTGAAGATAATACTGGGATTAGGATGGTCAGATCTACGCACGCAGATTATGTGACAACTACAGAACTGGATCACAGATCGCGTTGTGGACGAAACAGCGAGTCTCTGAAGCATTCTCGGCAAGAAATGAGTTGGACGAGGACTATGTATTTGATCCCACATTCTTTAACCTGATGTTCACTTAATCAGTGGCCATAAGTCAAAATTATTTCCGGGACTGACTGAAAAACTCTTCAGCATCGCGTCTGTGATGCCCAACGCGCTAAACAGCACAACGGTAGAGGACATGTAGCGAAGTGTGGGCATCATTGCCTTTTACTTCTGCAAAGTTGGATTGACATTCATCTAACAATAGACAATCGCCAAACATTGATTGCTGTTCAAGTATGACCATAGCGAACTAGATATAAACGACAACGCATAAATTTGCTCACGTGATGAGCAGAATCATACGAACAATCCATTATGTGTGGTCATGTGCTTGTCCTGTGAGATTGATAGGTATGATTATAACAATATTCTCTGTTTGACTAGCTACTTAGAGTAGGTGGGCTAACTCATGAAATGTCAACCGAAATTCCGAAGTGCGTTTTCGTTTCGAAAAGATAAATTAAGTAGTGTTGTAAAACTAGTCATGATGCAGAATAAATCTATAATGATCCAGTTATCTCAAGGTGTCGGCTTTCGAAACAACTTATTTCCGGCTCTATGCAAGATCTATACTCTGAAGAATAGACTACTTAAGAAGCATGCACCTTTCTCATTGATTTTTGATGCCCTTCAAAATTCAATAATATTTAATGGAAAACATGCATAAGAATATTTATTCTTTTACTTTTTCGGTAGAACATTACGTCTTCTTCAAATTTCATGCTCAAAAAGAGTATAATTCAGTTTTAAGAAACTTTTCTAATTCCCGAATAATTTTGAACCCGACCTACTGTTACACTTGCATTCAGGGTTTCAAAACTACAAGCTGTATATTTTCCGTTAACGGAAAACCATACATTTCTCTACGGTGGTGAGAGGAGACTACATGAGGTTGATAAGTTTAAGCAGTGGATTTGCGCAGTATTGTTAAATTCGCAAGCCACATTTGTAAATGCAGATACATGACGTTTTATGAACGGCCACTTAACGGCATTAAAAAATCTCACAATTAGAAACTTTTTAAAACCTTATTTATGCCATTCTTTCGAAAGTAAAATTGAAAGATGACGTGATTTTCTACCGAATAAGTAAAAGACTAAATATTTTTGTGCATGTTTTCCATGACATATAATTGAATTTTCAAGGGCATCGAAAATCAATGAGAAAATTGCATGCTACATACGTAGTCATTTTTTGCAGAGTAAAGATCTTTTTTGCAATCGAAAATAAGTTTTTTCGAAAGCTGACACACTGAGGTAACTGGATCATTATAGATTTATACAGCATCATGATTAGTTTTACAACACTACTTAATTTATCTTTTCGAAACGAGAACGCATTTCGAAATTTTGGTTAACATTTCATAAGTAAACCCATCTACTCCAATTGTTAAACGCAGAGCCATGACGATTTATGATTGGCCATTTCATGATATGTAAAAGCCTAACAATTAGAAACTTCTTAAACCGAAGTATGTCCCTCCTTCGAGTATAAAATAAGAAGAAGACCTAATTTTCTACCGAATGAGCAAAATAATGAATATGTGTATACTTGCATATTTGTCCGCAATAACAATGAAAGACATAGGCAGGCATGAACAAATGAGAAAGCCAGCGCAGTTACCAGCCACGACAGGTCTTTCCAACTTCATCAGGGCGATGTCATTGTCACTGCTGCCTGACCGGTATTGCGGATGCATTGCGATGTTCTGAACAATGCGATCCTTTTCAGAGGTCTCGGTTCTGGCAAGATTGTGATCACCAACTCGGGCAAAAAGGGTGGAATTTGTGAGAGCCTTATAGGAGAATGGTTTGTCCACAGGGGCAGGTATGCATTTCATGGCCATTTCAACACAATGGGCTGCAGTAATAATCCAATCAGGGGCAACCAGCGTTCCACCACAATACGGATATCCTCCTCTGACACTGGCGTAAAGACCAACCTGCAAATTCGCAGTAAAATGCAAAACCAGCCCATCAGTTGATGTAAAAGGCTATGTAAAATCAAAATTAATACAACAAAGATCTAAGCAGACAGACAAAACCAGACTGTTAAATACTGTGCGGTGAGAAGGACAGTATAGATGGTGTTCACTTAAAGTGGGAGTACGAAATTTAAAATGCAAAATCTGGCGCTTTATCTTACCGCCCATGGCCAACTATGCGGAGTAGCTTCGCGTCGACTAGTTTGACGAGGAAGCCAAGCGGGGGGAGTAAGTTCCTGTATTCCACACGCTGGACGAACTGAAATGGTTAGCAGAAAGCGTAAATACGGTCATTATCTCAGATAATCTTGAAAAAGATTTAATATCCTTGTCGACAACAAAGTCTTAATGAACCAGTTGTATGGTGCGAACCACCTTCAGTAAAATGGCCTCGAAATTGGGAAGCAAATCGGCACGTGCCATGGTTTTCATAAATCTGCTAACGTCATAAAGACATACGGATGAAACAACGACCGGAATGTACTTTCATGGTGGACAAATTACTGCGTTCCACTGAGACCTTTCATCACTGTACATCCAACTCTTAATGGAGACTGTAAAGAATGACATTGTGAAACTGACAGCGCTCTCCTGCGTCTTCGGTATTAGTTAGGATACAATGTGAAATATATTTGACAATGACAGGGAGAGTTCATTACATCAACGATTGGGAACTTTTAAATTTGTTTCTGTGAAATAATGCTACTCAAAGGAACTAAGTATTGTTTTAATATGAAGGATTCTCACTGTTCGTGTATAGTTGTACCTAACGGGGTGACATGTAATCAGTAGGTTTTTAAAGGCCTCGCCTATTATCCTTACCAAAAAACTGCAACTGGAATGGTATAAATTTCGGTGGATCTCTTTTTCTGGTTGGCATTATAAAATTTACGACATACTTCACAGACGACGTGGTGAAATGTGAAACCTTGTGTCTACCTGCTCCTTCGGTCGTCAGCTGCATTGACACGGTTTCTCCAACTCCACCTCCTTTGCCGTGAAGTTTCTGGTTCTCCACTGAAACTGAAATCGTGTACGTTGTGGAGTGTCCCAAATGGGTTAACGTAATGTTCGAATCGGTACTTGTCAGGCTTTTCGTCTGACCACTGATTGCATCCTTCACCTCCACGTGATACTTGCTGATTATGCCCTTTGGAAATTCGGGCTGACTCCAAGATAATATAGCGGTTGTTGATGTTGCTTGTATTAAGCGCAGCTTCTGCACTTTCTGACCAGCTACAAACAGAATGGGGTTGGAAAATGAGAGCAGCTCGAAAATGAATCTACTTAATTAGGAATTACGAATGTATATGTTATTAGTTTAGTGAAAGTATGAGAAGAAATATTTTGGCCAACGCAAATTATCCGTCAAAGACCTGTAGATGCGCGGTTCAAGCTAGGATGTCTATTACGACGCGTGAATCGGAAACCATTGCATGGCTTACCTTCAGCCAGACACGGAGGCCCAGGGGGCTTTTTTCGTGACGAAACTTCCTGCACGCATTAGAATAAATAATAATGCGGTCGGTTAACGCCATGAGGTAAAGTACTTAAAACCGCCTTCTAGATTTCCGAAAAGAAGCACCAATTACTTGCACATGAATGCAATCTCGCCGATGAAGGACCGGAAAAAAAACTAACAAGCAACACATGCTGTGAAACCTATAGCACGTAATGCTTCGTGGTTTTTTACGATGCCCATATACTTGGTCCTTAACGAAAAGGTACTATGATTCTAATGCAACCTTGGACCTTCCCCATGGGACGATAAAAGATCACATGTGGGTTTAGAAAAAGCGAAAATCGACTGTGTGGTCAAAATGCGGAAAAGTTGAGAAGGGAAGGAAGGCAATACTAATGGTCAAAATAAAGGCAGTGCATACAACTCCAACAATCGATATAAAGGCATGGGAGGTGTTTAATTGAAAAGCATACAAATAAAGAGGTCAAATGCAGGACATCTAAACATGGGTAGAAAAATGCGACATCACTGTAATATGCGGGGCTGAGAGTTTGGTCAAATTTGCGGCATTGGACAGAAAAGTACACAGGGAAAAATATGAAATCTAGTATCTATTTCATCATTTCCCGAAGAAGACGAGAGGGCGAATTCATGGATCATATTGTATTCGAACTGACGTTTCGGAAACTTCGTCGTTTCCATCATCTGAGTAGCGTACTTGTTGCTCCTGCCGTTGTTCAATCTTGCCGCTTGTCTCTTATTATAGCCGTGCTCGACGCACGAACTTTGACCTGCCTGTTTGCCGCTGACTGGCATAGACCTCCGCGGGACTGACCGCAGACAGGTCTGCGTGACCTTTGTTCCCTTTCGGGTCGGCGTAATTGTATTCAAATCAACGTGCCGGTTGGCCTATCCCACGTCAGCCGGTGGACAGATCGGTCATTGCTGTTCATGTGAGCAGCATTCATCTTCACCGACGCATAAGTGAGACAGTGTTCGGCTTTGGTCACATGACCTCTGGCCCACAGCTCCGCTCTTTTCTGTGAGCGTTGACTATCGGTCCCGCGTGCTCGTTAGCCTTACTGGTCCTGTCCGGACTGAGCCGAGCATTTTACGCAGCGCCTGTTAGGCGGGATGTAGATTTATAGCTCGGTTGTGTGCCAGTCGAGGACCAAATTTCGAGCACCAGTCTGGCCATCTTCTCATTGGCTCGACCAATTACCCTTGCATTCTCAAAGGCAAAATCGTGGTCCAGTTCTCGTATGTGGCCGTAGACCAAAGACAGCTTGTCCTTGCGGTTGATTGCAAGTTGTTGTTCGTGCAATTTTGTACCGAGAGGTTTGCCCGTTTCACCAACATACCTCGCATTGCAATTTAGACATGTTATGTTGTAGACCACCGCCGACTGCTCTGTTGTTGGTAGAGGGTCTTTGGGCTTCATCATTTGCTGTCTGAGGGTGCTTTCTGGTTTATGAGCCACGCCAATCCCATAAGGTTTCAAGATTCTCGCCGTCGCCTCCGATACGTCCTTCACATAGGGTATTGAGAGCCAGAACTTGGGCTTTTCTCCACTCGACCGTTCAAAATGAGGCTTTCTGAGGCAATTGCGTTTGAAGGACTTCGGGTAGCCGTTGGCTTTAAAAAGGGCCTCTTAGTAATTCACCTTATCCTTTCTCCCACTGTCGTCGCTACAGTGTGTTTGAACACGCTAAAAGAGAGTTCTGACACAACTGCGTTTATGACCAACAGGGTGGTTGCTTCGGAAATGGAGGATGCGCGTAGTATTTGTTGCCTTACGGTAAACCGTTGTCCTTTTTCTTCCCGTCTGTCAATCTCGTAACTTGTACGTCCAGGAAGGGCAACTGATTGTTGACTTGCTCTTCCAGAGTAAACTGAATGTCGGGGAAGATTGAATTCAACAATGCCTTGAAAGCCTTCACCTCGCTCCTCTTGATTACAACGAAAGTGCCGTCGATGTATCTGGCCCAGAATTTCCGGGGGAGGGGGGCGGGGGGTACCAGCTGGTAACTCCGCCACAGCAGTCCTCTACTGGCCGTGCCTTGGTTCACAACTTGTCCTCTCATTGTTTCACTTAGCAACAACCATCGGTTCTATCCTATGACGCGAAGTTCAGCACAAGAGATGCTCGACTAGAAGACTTTATTGCATCGTTTGAATCGGCGCTCCAGAAGTGTGAGGCAGGCGAGGAGTGCAAAAACCCCATGCAAAAACAAGTGTCGACCTTACTCCTCCAACACAAACGCCAGGTGACGAGATCTAAAGCAGAAGATCGATAACTTCTGAGAATACGAAAAATAAAGGATATTGTCACCCTGCCCACCGACAAGGGGCGCTCGACTGTCGTCATGGATAAGGCTGAGTACCGCACAAAACTAGACAACCTCTTTATGGACAAGGAAGTTAAAGCGCCGTCGACCGTCAGCGAGTTTAAAAAGCTCGTAAACAGCATAAACAATACGATCGGCAAGCTAAGGAAGGCGGGAGCACTTACGAGAAGGGAAGCGTTGGCCGCAAAAGCCAGTGATGCCGCGATGGCGCACTTCTACGGCCTACCAAAGGCCCATAAGCAGGGGGGGGCGGTAAGCCACATAGTCACCTTGCGTGGTACTCCAAAATTGGGCTGTCAAAGTAACTGTACCAGCGACTTTATTTCCTTACCAAAGATTCGGGGTGGACAGTGAAGTCGGTAAAAGAGTTCTTGACGCGCATAAAACGTGTCGAAGTGGAGGCAGAAGAGGTGATGGTGTCATTTAACGTGATCTCATTACTCACCACCATCACACCCGCACTGGCTATCGACAAGATTGACGGATTTCACCGGGAAAAGTATGATGAGACCGACCAACAGCCCAAACGAGCACATATCATCCAGCGTGAATGAATGCGCATGCGCGATTGTAATATTTGACTTTGGGAGTAAAGCAGATTAGTGATATATAATCGTGAATACATGGGATATAGGCATCAATGTGCTTTCCACAATGTAGCTTCGAAGCATCTCGGTAAGTGAGCGCAAAACGTTGATCTTGCAGCAGGTCCGGGAACAGCGACCTGCGTTGATACCTGCGAATTATCACGCCTATGTGCGTTTTTGTAGACCAGCTCATACACACGGTCAGTCAGGCGGACAGACATGTATTATTTAACAGAAGACCATGGAGTGATAGGTGGCATTAATGCAAGAACCATGGACGCACCTGTGGGCCATGTTGTAATGGGCATTTCAGCGTACTCAAAGGATGTTGAGGTATTGCGGAACCTAATCTTCACAGCAACTGTGAAGTTGGTAAATGGCGGCAGTCCTGTGAATGTGTAGGTGGTTGTGCCTGGTCGTACTGACTTCTGGCGAGAAATATGGGGCCCCTCGAGTTGAACAAGGTAATCCTGCATGTCTCGGTGATAAAGGCCAGACGGATGCGTCCAGGTGGCACGAATGGAGTCCGAACTCGTTGCCACGCCTTGCACATTCAAGTTGTGATTCTCATTATCTGCAAAGGGCCAAATTGGTGAAATTCATGCCTACGCGCAGAGTGGATTCATCAGCTGCGATCACATATTGGAATGGCGGGAAATTTCAAAGCAAGTCACATCTGCAAGACTGGAGTCCTCAGTCGGTCGACAGGATAGTCAATAACTGAGACCTGCAGGCCGCACTGTCCTGCTTATTGATGCTGTGCGCCAACCACAGTGCCCCTTGAAATCTCACGTCACACTTCGTGGACCGCGATGGCATAAGGTCAATAGCCATTATGCGCAATGGACGCACGATTAAGGCTGCATTGTAATGGTGTATTACAAGTGTGGGCCAGTTAGAAGCACGTGGGTGCATGCGCAGGTTCTTCTCAATGGGATACACCTAGGTGGGGAATGTCAATGTCCAGTCTCTCACCCTCATTCTTTCTCCGAGAACCGCTCATATCCGACCTTGCAGAGGGACCACAGAACACAGTCCACGAGGACAGAAGAAACTGTGTGATGAATGCTGCAGATAGAGGAGATCCATGAATATCAGCCTAGCATGCGCTAGCCATCCTGCTCACAGACGTAAGACCAGTCAGAATCATTCCACGTGCGAAGTGGGATGATAGTCAGTCGACCGGCCAAACAAACGCATTTCTAGCAGTCTGTCCACTGGATAAAGACAGCATCCTGATCCACTAACTCACATTCGACGCTCCCCGATTAAACAACAATTAGGCTAGTATATTCATTGCGGATATTAGGTATTCCTAATTGCTGGTGGCGTTAATGCGGGCTTAAGAAATTAATTTGGACAACCGACTGTCAGAAATCAGTCACATAACCTGCAACCTTCGTGTCATTGCATGACATGTTGTCTAATTCACTATCCCAGGGACACAATCAAATCGTTTCCGAACAAGAACATTGGAATCTACGAAATTGCCCCTTCTTACTTCATTCCAAATGATCTTCAATAACCCAACAACCTATTGCCAGCTCAACCAATCATCCTTCACTTGATATTGAACTGCTCCGACCACCTCCAGTGCAACGAGCGCAGAAGTGAACGTTTCCACTGAAACGGACTTATTCTCGTCAGCAGTATCCAGTAAAATGCAGTAAGTTATGCTTGCAACGCTTACCCAACGGCAAGGTCGTGACTGCTGCTGTAACAGCTGGTCCGACACCGCCACCATGACCACTGAGTGGCATGTTTTCAACCATGATCGATATGTTGTAGGTTGTGTTTGGTTCCAGATCGGAGAACGTTGTTTCATTCCTCAATGCCACCATGATTTCCTTACTGCCTGTTTCCGAATTCGTTGCCTCGACTTGATAGGCCTTGATTTCGCCTTGTGGTCTGTCCGGAGCACTCCAAGTCACCACAACTGACCGAGGTGTAATATGCGGGAAACGGACATTTTTCGCCTCCTGACCGGCTGCACATATGAAAATCAGAGTGATCGTGTGAAGTAGTGTTTGTGTAAGGGCATAATGACTAGGGACGATGGTGTAAATACATTATGCTATAATCAACCGACAATGAGGAGAGCCTTACTGCAGTCCATTGGACTTCGACTGTGTCGGCTAAGATGTCATCCTCGACGATGCTGGACTAAGAAGTCATTTTGTCTTTGCATGGCAAGTCTTTAGTTGCATACAGATGTACGCAATGTGCCACGGTATCATGCCTTCTGCCCGTCCTTTCCCATGTTTACTTTACACTGTAACTCTAACTCTCTGTATGTCAATGACACTTTATCTCATCATGATATTTATTGACAGCGTTTCACAATTTAAATAAAGTATTTGTCAGTCGCGTCGACTCAAACGCAGTCTGTTTATCTGTAAAGTTGGCTTAGCTCTGTTATCCACCCCACACGACTGACGAACTCGACAATATCCACCATGTGTCCTCAGCAAGTTTGGTCTTTCACGGCGAATTACGCGTGTGCCAGTTTTTATTGCAAATAGTCTTCCACATCATCTACCGCATTCTCTCCTCCTCCACCTCCTTCTTATCATCCTTCTCACCTGTGCCTCATGACAAGACATTATCAAGAAGGCCGGATATGAGAGTGGATACATGTGGTTGGCACAGCCAGACCCGCACCCATGCGTATCACCACATCCCCTGATCTACAAAAAACGCTTGACGAGCATTTTAACCAACAGTAGCGCTACAAAGGGTCAGAATGACGACAGGTGTAACGGCGCAGCCATGCTCCCGAACTATTTATCAAGTATGAGAGCAGACGCTTCTACCGGAAGTGAACCAGGCGCCATAGGACTGGCAGACTCACCTGATGTCCCGCTCCCTCATCTGCCTCCCCCCTCCGGTCGGCAATAAACACCGACCGCACTCATGAACGCCCACTGCGAACCTCCTGCTCCATCACCTCAACAAACGCTACGGCGGTCCTGCACCCACCACACCTTTATGCTTTCCCTACACGCCCTCAAGCATCGACGTCACCAACTTTAGCTCTAGCGATGTGCACACGGTCCATACGTGTGCCCAATGTGACCGTTCCTTCGCCTCACACATAGGTCTGGTCATTCACTTGCGAGTCCGTCGCACGGAGACGGGCGAACCAGTGACTGAAGCACCCACATACACCCGCCGCATCCGCCTCCACTGTCCACGCTCTCCTCACGCATTCAGACACCGCATGGACTTATTCAGCCATGAAAACCTACGGTAGACCACCGCCGGCTGAATCACACCATCACATCCCCCCTCTCCGCCACCTCACCGCTCATCAACGTCACCCACCGCAAGCACCCAAATGACACCTCGCACGCAAGTGGGAAGTCTGCGTCTCGACTCGGTCACTATGCGGCTCCTGTTGCACGAGTGAGTCGAGTCTGAGACCGTCTTGACGCGTCAAGCGTCGTGGATTGGCAAGTTGCTGACTGACGCCCTATTCTGGTACACGCACTCCGTCCAGTTGTTTGTGTTTGTGTGGAATGGCTGAGTGTTAGGCTGGAGGCGGGGTCGAAGCGGCTCCATCCATGGCAATCGCACGTATGGGAGAGATACACCGCTCAACCCACGTTGTGTGAAATCCTGGTGTATATTTGTGTTTGGTTGGTCAGGTCGTGCATGTGGCGCGAGCAGACAAGTCCACTAGAACATGTCGGCCACCGTGCCCAATCTCCGCTTCAGTCAACTGACCGGCTCGTACAGTGGCTGATGCACGAGAATTGAAAGTGAGACTGAGGTCGACGACTCAGCACATATTCCTCACTTAAAGCTATCACGGTGGGCCAAAAACCGTGAATTGCAATGTTGCCAACTGACAAGATAACTTAGAACTCACTGTCAGCCCAGTGTTGTGCGTGTGTCTGTGTGCAGTGTTCGGTTGGTTGTCTGGGGGTCAGGCTGCAATGGCTCATTCGTAATGTGACCTTTATGGCATTCCAAACACAGTGTGCGATCCGAACCAGGCGTTGGCGGCACACCAAGTTGCGGCTTCGGCCATGACAGCATCCAATCTCTGTTCGGTGATCAAAATCCTGGTCATTTTTTGTGTGGACTAGGGCGTGCGGAGTGAAGCGCTAAGGCTCGACCATGCCATACATCTGCGTCCTCCCTCATCTCTGGTCTTCTTGACTCTATCTTGACACCCGTCTCAGGTGGGGAAGAGGAGAGAATGTGGTAAATGCAGCGCAAGTCTACTAGCACTATAAACCCCCGAGCAAGCCACTGTCGCTTGTCCCACCATGCTGTAGAGTACACAGTGGACACCGTCGGCAACGACGTTTGAACTGACGTGTTTTTGTGTACTGTTGCTAGTTGGAATGCATGCACACACATGCCGGTGTACCCAGTTGGCCAGCACATAACCATTTTTGATTATTGTAATGAAAGCTGTTGAACGTCTTTGAAGATGTTTTCGTGTTTTATCCATGTATACAAAGCTGCTTCAGCATAACGAAAAGGTCGGTGTTCACGCAGAAAATCTCAGATAGCCTAATGTCAGATAATTATGTGGGCAGTCTGATTAGGTATTGGGCTGCACTATGGCGTGTGAAATTACGAATTTGGCACATTGTGCCTCGCAAAGTCACAAAGCGCGGCTGGAATTCTTGCGATAATTTGGTCCGCGTAGACTTCATCTAAACTGCGTTATGCGCACAGCAGAGTCTATCTAGTGTTGTGGTGGAGAGGCCACAGCCATGCAGAGTGAGGTGCGAAACACCTGACGGTAACATTACTCACAGAAGTCAAGACACATCCCTTACCTCATGCGAGTCGATCAGTTAAATCTGTGAATAATGATGTCTGCATGAATGCGCATTCGCGGTTGTCATATTTGGCTCTAGGAGTTAGGTAGATTTGTGACATATAATCGTGAATTAATCGAGTAATAGGCTTTAACATGCTTTCCACAATGCACCCTTCCAGCATCTCGGCAGTGAAGCGCAAAATGTTGATCTGTCAGCAGATCCGGGTACAGAGACCGGCGTTGATACCTGCGAATTGTCACACATATTTTCGTTCTTGTAGACAACCTCATACACACAGTCAGTCAGGCAGGCAGACATGTATTATTTAACAAAATACCATGGAGTGATAGGTGACATTAAGTAAGAAGCATGGACGTACCTGTGGGCCATGTTGTAATGGGCATTCCAGCGAACTGAAAGGGCGTTGAGGCATTGCGGAACCTAATCTTCACAGCAACTGTGAAGTTGGTAAATGGCGTCAGTCCTGTGAATGCGTAGGTGGTTTTGCCTGGTTGTACTG